ATGGACCTAGAGTCTGTCATACAGAGTGAAGTAAGTCAGAAAGAGAAAAACAAATACCGTATTCTAACACATATATATGGAATCTAAAAAAAAAAAAAAAAGGTTCTCATGAACCTAGGGGCAGGACAGGAATAAAGACACAGATGTAGAGAATGGACTTGAGGACATGGGGAGGGGGAAGGGTAAACTGGGATGAAGTGAGAGAGTAGCACTGACATATATACACTACCAAATGTAAAATAGCTAGCTAGTGGGAAGCAGCTGCATAGCACAGGGAGATCAGCTCGGTGCTTTGTGACCACCTAGAGGGGTGGGATAGGGAGGGGGGGAGGGAGACGCAAGAGGGAGGGGATATGGGCATATACGTATGCATATAGCTGATTCACTTTGTTATACAGCAGAAACTAACACAACACTGTAAAGCAATTATACTCCAATAAAGATGTTAATAATAAAAAAAAAGACACACAACAAAACTTTGAAAGGGAAAACACAAAAACATGGAGAATGGGAGGAGTAAAAGGAGCGGGCGAGGAGGAAAAAGAAGAGGAACAAATGAGGAATAGCGCTGGGGAGACGTGGTCCAAGAAGAGAGCTGGAGAGAAATCTAGCTGTGCTTCCAGGGCAGGGCTGGGCTAGCTGGCCAGTTTCTGTGGTGTAAATACTCCCACTGTGGCTGATTCATTTCAAGCTTCCGACGTGGAGTTGGGGAGAGATGCTGGGACGGATGCACAGGGGGGCTGTCACCACCGCATGACCCGTATGACCTGGCTCCAGCTCACCCCTTGTTTGGACCCCCCATAGTAGCACTCCTAAAACAACCCACCCACCAAGAAACAGCAGTAGGAGGAAGAGAACCCATGGGAGCTTCCTCCCCCATGGCCGAGTCTCTTGCTAGTTACACGGCAGGTGGAAGGGCTGAGACCTACTTCGGATTCCAGCAGGTGACCACCGGCTTCATGGTGTGGTGGGTGTGGTCGATAGTCAGGGCCTCCAGGAGCCAGTGGAGGGCACAGAGCTGGCGGAAGATGGGCTCACTGCAAAGACAGAGGGAGGAAGCCCAGGGGGCTCCTGTTAGAACAACATGCTTCACAACAGTGGCGACAGAGACAGGAGTGGTGCTGGCTCCCGGCTGGAGAGCTGTCTCCAGGCTCCAGGAGTGTGGCAGCATTTCCCACGCACCAGCATTAAACTTTCCCAATGGGCTCCTGAGCTATTTATTGGCCCCATTTTACAGATGAGGGAACTGAGGCTCAGAAGAGGTGAGGAACTTGTGCATGCCACTGGGCCAGTAGGCGGCAGAGCTGTGATCGGACACAAGGTGACCCTATGCCAGTTACTGGGGATTTGCATGCACAGTGGGAAGGGACAAGGTGGGGTGTCCCACAGGTAGAGGACTGAATTCAGGCAAACGAGAGGACTGAAGGAAATGAACATCCTACAGGCATCCGATTCTTCATCTGATAAAAATACAATAAATACACTAGCAGGGTCCAAAACGTCCGGAAACACAAGGAAACTAGTGTATTTATTGTACTTTCTCTCCACTCCAATTAACAACTAGACCCACTGCTTTAAATTTATAAATCCTTTGCCCCAAATGTAGCTGGATGTCGAGGAAAACCACATTGAACACATGATTTGAAAATGTAACTAAAACACCATTTAAAAATAGGTCTAACCTGTATTTTCTGATTTGGGGGGCATTCTGTATTACGATGAGCCCGGCATTGGGTAGGACACCTGACACATGTTATTTATTTCTCCCCAAACCCTGCCGGGTAGGAATCATTATCTGAATTTTAGAGAAGAGGAAACTGAGGCTCAGAGAGGGGCCATCGGTTTGCTCCAGGTCACACAGCTTGATGGTGACAGAGATGGGGCCTGAATATCCCATTCAATGCTCTCGACAACCCTATAAGAAGGGTGACTTTATTCCGTCCTGTCTGCTTGCAGACAAGGGACTCGGAGAGGTAGAGTTGCCTGAGGTCACACTAGGATTAGTGAGGATTTGAACCCGCATCTGTTTAATCCCAGAGAGGGTGCTTTTGTGGACCTGAGCTCTTTTATTGTTTGAGGTGCTGATGGGGCCAAATGAGTGGCCACCCTGAGAGCAAGGTCAGGAGAGGGTTAACCTGCTGCCTGCATTCTTCCTGGAAATGAGGGGGAGTCCTAAGGAGCCAGCCCCTCCCTGCATGATTTCTCCTCTTACACTAATGGGCCAGATGCCTCCATTACCAACCTGTGTAATTGCTCTTCTCTGAAACTGCTACTGTATTGATCGATACTCCCCAGGGTTCCTGGGCCTGTGCTCAGAGGGGCAGGCAGGAATCTACCCTCCAGCTTCCAGGAAGGCCCCAGCTCAGAAGGTGGAGTCCGAACCCTGGGGCTCAAGTGTGGAGCAGGCCCAGGCGTATCCCGGAGAGCCCCCTGAGAGGCACCCATGTCACTCTGCTTGCAGGGGAGCTGCCCCCACGCACCCCACTCCTCCGCCCCCATGCTCTGGGGCGGCCGTGTCCACCGGGTCTTAGGAAAACTAGAGTCAGCAGCTCTGTCTCTCTTTTTTCATCTAGAGCACCTTCCTTCCTTTTTTTTTTCCATCCACAAATTATTTTCTAATAAGACAAACACCTACGCATCCCTCACTTCTAATTTAAAGGACCCGCAAGCCCACAGACCTCCCAGTTCTGTCTGTGTCTTCCCCCTTTACACCATCTTGGTCCCTACAGGTAAGTGCATTTTGGCAGCTCTGGGTACCAACAGTAGCAGTGGCTGTATCATGTGCCCAGGCCTGTGCAGACACCTCCCTGTACCCTCACTGGGAACCCAGGCAGTGGGGAAAAGTCCGAGGAGATGCCCCCTCTTCTGTTCACGACTCAGAGCCCCTGCAGGCCTGGGCGTTCCGTTGTGTCCACCGCGGGTGGGGAGGGATGGGTAAGGGAGTTAACTGGTGAGGTGGGATGTGCTTCGTCACAGGGGGACGAGAGGCATGTGAGCATCAGACTCATTTCTGCAGGTGACAGGAACGGGCACAAACCTGGCCCTCTCCCTCCCTTGCTTAAGATCTTCAGACTCCCTAAACCATCTGCTATGGACTGAGTTATGTCTCAGAGTTCACATGCTGAAATCCTAATCTCTACTACCTTAGAATGTGACTGCATTGGGGACCTTTAAAGAGGTGATGAGGTTAAAATAAGACCAAGAGGGTGGGTCCTAACCTAATCTGACTGGTGTCTTTAGAAGAAGAGGAGCCATGACCCACGGAGAGACACTGGGGTACACGTTCACAGAGGAAAGAGCGTGTGAGGACAGAGCGAGAAAGCAGCCCTCCGAAAACCAAGGAGAAACGACTCAGTAGAAACCAGCATGTGGGCACCTTGATCTTGAACTTCCAGCCTCCAGAACTGTGAGAGAATACATTTCTGTTGTTTAGGCCACCCAGTCCGTGGGGTTTTGTTACGGCAGCCCTGGCAAACCAACACCCCATCACAGGGGAGACTCCCATCCATCTCCCCAGCCTCGAGTCTCCTCTCTCACCCCTGTGCCGCCACCTGCAGCCTGGTGAAATTCTGCTCTGTAGCGCAAGCTCACCGTACATACTCTCTTTGCACTGGGTTAAAATCCTAGCTTTGCCATTTATTAGCTATGTGGTCTTGGCCAAATTACTTCATTTTCCTGAGCCCCAGTTTTCTCATCTGTATAATGGCAGTAATCGTTCTAGTGAAAGTGAGGCACTGTCCTCTGCTCCTGATACACATTGCGTTTCCTCCTCCTCTGCCTCTCCGTGATTGGGTCTCAGCTCGGATGTCGCCTCCAGCAGGAAGCCTTCCTTGATTTTTCGAGCATCCTCTCTCCGAGGAGGTTCTAAAGCACACCCCCCCACACCCTACAATGTGTCCCTCTGTCCCTACATTTTGTGTCCCTGCTCTCTTGTAACTACCTGTTTACTTGTCTCTGCAGCCCACAAGCCTGTGAGCTACAGAGTCTTGTCCATCACAGGTATGCACAGAGTAGGCTCAGTACATTTCCGGTTACTGAATGGGAGATGGAGGGAATAAATTGGTTGGGATCTGACACTTTCCAGAGCTGATAATTTGGGCACAGTTCTCATATGCACAACCACAGAGATAACAAAGAATAGTAGCAACAACAGCAAAATAACAATAATAGTAAACACTTCCCATAGAGCGCTTACTCTGTGCCAGACACTGTTTTCAGTATTCTACATCCATTAATTAAAGTCACTCTTATAACAACACTGTGAGGAAGGTACTATTAGTATTCCCATTTTTCAGATGAAGAAACTGAGGTCATATAACTTAACCAAGGTCAAAAAAGGCAGCAAACAGCAGAGCTGGAATCTAAGCCCAGACAGTCCGGTTCCCAAATCTGTGCTTTAATACAGTGTTGCTATCTCTTATTATAGGGTAGAGCCCTCACGCCCTTTTCAGCAGAATAGGGTTTCATCCAATGGGTCTGGACCTTTTTCTCTGCTCATAGAAAGTGCCTTACAACACCTGCACACAGATGTTTATAGCAGCTTTGTTCATAATTGCCAAAAATTGGAAGCAACCTTTAGAGATGTATGGATAAATAAACTATGGCATATCCAGACAATGGGCGGTTATTCAGCGTGAAAAAGAAACGGGCTACTAAGCCATGAAAAGCCAAGGAGAAACCTCAAAAGCATATTACTAAGTGAAAGAAGCCAATCTGAAAAGGCTACATACTGTATGATTCCAACAATATGATGTTCTGAAAGGACAAAACTATGGAAACAGTAAAAGGATCAGTGGTTGCCGGGGGTGGGGGGGAGGGGGAGAGGGCTGAACAGGCAGAGCACAGAGGATTTTCAGGGCAGTGAAAATACTCTGTATAATACGTGAGTGGATGGATACATGTCGTTATACTTTCATCCAAACCTATAGAATATACAAAACCAAGAGAGGACCCTAATGTAAACTAGGGACTGCAGGTGACTGTGATGTGTCAGTGTAGCTTCATCAGTTATAACTAACTCCCACTCCGGTGGGGGATGTCGATAATGGGGGAGGCAGGAGAGAAATGGGAAATCTCTGCACCTTCCCCTCAATTTTGATCTGAACGTAAATCTGCTCTAAAAAGATAAGGTCTTAATGAAAAAATACAGTGCCTCAAACCCGATGATCTCTCATCTAACATGCAGTGAAGCAAACTGATGAAAGAGAGAGACAGAGAGAGAGGAAGGAAGGAAGGGAGGGAGGGAAGAAGGGAGGGAGGGAGGGAGGAAGGAAGGAAGGAAGGAAGAAAG